TTGTTGCCTGAGCACAGCAAACCATGAACCTGATCCTCTCTCTCATATCTTCCATTCTGTGCCTGTTACCTAGCGCCTAATTCCCCACCCCCCTTTACGGTTTCATTGTTGTTCGTTATCTTATACAAATTCTTTTTGGCAGCTTGGTCCGTTAGCATGGCTATCCGCAGCGCAACTGGTACCTTTCTATTTCCTTGATCCAACCAGATCTGCTCCACGGTCCTTTTGGATTCTGTGTCTATATTCAACTACTTGCTCTTTATATGATTCTCAACTTTACAACAAAACATCATGCACCAACATCCTCGATCACCGGCCCCTCCGCCACCCGCATCTGCAACCAGGTCGAGCCGCTCGGAGGACAATCGAGAGCAGGACACTCGTCCAACTTCCCCAGCCTTCGATCCTAGAACATCAAGCAGAGGATTGGGGATAGAGACGGGCCCTGAGTCGCCAGAGCAGAGCCAAGCTCGACGACCCTCAAAAGAAGCCATAGCTAAACTCAACCAAATCATATCAGTAGGGCTTCCTTTAACGTGCTTGACCTGGTCTCGTTCTTTTTCTTTTTTTCTTGTTGGTGCTTTGCTGATACAAGTATCACTCTAGAACTACCATACCAAAGCCGCTCTGATAATCCTTCATTCCCGCGTTGAGCTCCCTCCATCCTTCAACAAAGGCTCCGATACTCCTAGGGTTAACCGCTGGGTACGTTGCTATGATACCGCCCCGTCTGTCTTCAGCTCTCGAGACCGCCCAGAATAGATCTGACATGCTGATCACAACTAACACATTCTGTAGTTCAACGTTGAGCTAGAAGATACCGACGTGCTGCGAGAACAACTACGAACCTGGAGAACATGTGATGCGAGTGAGAACCGGCCTCCGCCGCTGATTATCGAGACATACCTAGATACCAAAGGGCTCACCAACAACCAAAGCCTCGTTGCCTTGGATGAACATGGGAAACGATTTGATGTTTTGGAGTCTCTGTCCTCGTCTCCAGAAAGGCGATCTACCTCGCCCCTCTCGGCTGGGTCTGACGATGTGATTCTGGAGCGGTGGAAGGTGGAACTCGGAGGCATGTCTGATAAACTACCGACGGATCTTGGTTCTATTCTGCCTACGATCTACAAAAAGAGCATCGTCCTGTTCAGGTCCTTGTTCGCATATTCTAAATTCTTGCCTGCCTGGAAGTTTGCGAAACGCACCGGCAGACTTCGAGCACACCCGGCCTTGCGGATCAAATACCGTATTTCGGCGGGAAATCCCGATGCAGGGAGCTCGAAGCCAGATCGGTTGACGATGCCACTGTTTGAAAGCAGCGGTAAAGTTGTGGAGACGTACACCTTTGGGGTGACGGATTCACCTGCTGGCCCATTCTCTGTCGAGGTCACATATCGAACGAGCTGCGAATTCCGTGTAGATGATTCTGAAGCCCTTCTTAGTTCGCGTTTCATGGGTGCCGATGATGAAGGCTTTCGTCCCTCACTTTCAAGTCGAGATTCGCATATGAAAGCCGCCAATCCGGAAGTAGGGTCAGTACCCCTTGAGAAACGGACTGTCGAAGATCCAGACTTTGGGCGTGCCTATGGCAGCCTCTCGACCTTCCATAATGTCGGGCCTACCACTAGCGCCAGTCCTATATCAGCCCTACGTGCTGCACAGCAGGCTGGCGCCACGTCTCCCTCACCACCCGCATCATCGTCTCGGAAGCCTCTTTCTATGAACAAAGCAAGTCCTATAGGCCGTGCGGCTGTTCTCGCCAATGAAGGTAGCCCGGGCGTCGTTAGGCGGCCTTCCATCTCTTTCCAGCCTTTCAAAGCTCCGCCATTGTCTGCCTCTCCCTCACTTGTTGATCCTCCGCTTGTGGCTTCTCCGCGGTCGACAGCGGCGCCTCGTATACCTATTTCTGAAGCCAAACCCGTGCCTTCCCCGTCTACAACAAGCTCTACCCGAAAGTCATTGCCTGGCACCTCCGAGCAGACTGTTGCTCCTTCGAGCTCTGCATCGCCGCGGCCTGCTTCTATCGCAAGATATAGTAGCGCTTTCTCGCACCGTCGTGCAAGGCCTTCTTCCGGTAACATCACCAGGCCTGAAGATGATACCTCAAGCGGGAGAGCTAGTGCCACCTCATCAAGCGCTCAACCTGGCTCTGGTTTACTTGCGGAAGCAACCGGGACAAGTGCTGATTCACTCCACGCTGACGATGAGAATATTTCGGACTTTCTAAAGTCGCTGGATATGCACAAAGATTTGCTGAGCAACTCGAAGTTGACTGCTCGGGACGATCAAGGACGCCGAACAACGGCCCCATCTGCTGCGTTGAGTCGCTTTCAACGCATGAAGGACTCCAATGCTGCTCTATCGGATTCCATTACCTCCTCATTGATGCTTCATCGCTCGTCCATCTCATCAAGCAGGCAGTTGTCTAGTGTTCCGCCAATGGTGGCTGGCACTTCAATTTCTACGGCTTCCTCACCGGGCAAGCCTATTTCCCCCCACACCCCCCACACCCCGGCTATACCTTCGCGCTTGAGCTCGAACAGTATTGTTGACTATAATGATCCTGGGAACAACGATCGACGAGAGTCACATGTCGACCACAGCTCGCCCCTCGATGAGAACGTCAGTGAAGGAACGGCCATGGTTAACCAATCGAACGTAAATGCAATCGATATTCCTACGTCACCCACGTCACTCTTTCCACCTACGTATCGTCGGCCAAGCTCTGCTGCTCACCGTCGACGGACAAATACGACAGATGACGAGGAAATTTTCCCCTTCAACCTTCGCAGCATAAGTTTGGGAGCTGAGGACAGGTCCAACAGCAGCCTCAGTGCCATGCAACGTCAGCATGATTACGAAAGCGATAAGGCCAGTTCGAATCAGACGCATAGAGTGCAGCAGGCCCCGCCCGGCACTGAGGATCCATCCTTGGCACCTAGCACTGCAACACGCACGATGGGTACCCATCGAGGTGCAGCCGCGTCGGGGCCGTCAGCAGTCACGTCGGGTCACCATGTGTATCAGCCGCGTTTTAGCCTTTCTCGTGGACGAGGCCTCTCCGGCCCTCAGTCTCTCAGCTCCGGGTCAGGTAGCCTTGCACGTGGCTCAACGATTCCTTTATATCTCACCGAGCGCGATCACGATCGTGACGGCAACGCCAGTGGGAGCAACAGCGGTACCTCAATGATTGAGGGCCGACGACCCAGCACCGGCCGCAACAATCCTCCGCAATCGCAAGTTGAGGAGGACGAACCGTTGCTGTTTGCGATGAGTGATTTCGGGGCCTCTCGCCGAAGCTTTGAGGAAGGCAGGCAAGGCAATCATAGCGCTGACCCCACTGGTAATTCCGGCGGATCGAGACGAGGCGGCGGCAGGCGAGGCGGCGGTCTTTCTGGCTTCCCTGTCTGGCCATGAAAGGACTACAATCAACCTCTCACACCCACACTTTAACTCTGATTATCTCCTCGGATGCTTTCTGCGTCTTGGATGTTTGATTTTGACCGCTTTCTCCACCATCTCACATACCACCAATTTCCTTCTATTCACTCACACCTTGTTCACATCTTCGGTATTGTTTTGATGCTCATTTTTTCCCATTATTATCTCAAGGCGGCTGGTAAGTTTATAGACTGGATCTCCAAGCACTTCCGCAATGTGCGTCTGGATCGGCGAATAAGGTTGACTTGATGTCCCGAATTTCTTGTTTCTTGGGTTGCAAAGCATGTTTGTCATACTACCGTTCTACTTCCCCCTTTGCATTCTGGCGTGGAAACAGCGTCCTTCGTATCTTCTTCCTCCGTTCTGTTTTTTTTTTTTTTTTTTTTTTTTTTTTTTGGATTATCCCTCTTGTATCGAATTTCCGAGCGTCTTACAGTTGATATTCTCATGGGCATTGATCTGTCCTTTCTGATCTGACTCTATTATCTTATCTTTATCTATTTACATTGCTACAATTCTCACTTCTCAATTCGCCATGTTTGTGCAGATCCTCGACCTTGCTTTTACTGGGACGAAATCCTCTTCCGACGCTATGACAACGGGACTTAGAGAGGCGGACTGTAATAAGCTTGTGTGGTGGTATACCAGCCTTTGGACATAATACACCAGCTTCTGAGAGCCGTCTTAGTTTACAACGAAGTTTAAATTTTTGAAATATGCATTAACCTAACCGCCGGGGTATGAGTCTATGAAATGAGAACAGGAAAAAGGAGAGAAAAAAAATTTTTTTTCCAATGCCTTGAGGGTTTTAGAGAAAGGCAAACAATTGCGCCACCAATTCCTTTGCTGTGCCAATGTTCAAACTTTTTAGGTATGGTACATTGTATCTGATTGAAGACAGTTTGACTCATAAGATTGGAGATAACGATGTAGTGACTCATTTCCAGCACCCGAACAGCCCTGGGCTGGGCTGCTGAAGCCTAGACTAGAGCCCGGGCTATCGTGCACTTCCAGAACCGGTTAGCCTCTCGTTTGGCTGAACAACGAGAGGATGTGATTTGCCTGTGCTGGGCTGAGCCTTGTGATAGGTAGGAGGTAGGAGGTAAGGGTGAGGTCGATGGTAGGAAGGTAGGCGGGGCTAAGGAAGATCATGGATGGTAAGTTAAGAGGAGGGGGGCGGAAATCCTCATGGTGGGGGGTATAAGAGTGGTAGTGTAGTTGACATGATCGGGGTTATTGTTGCGGATCTTGTCATGTGACGTGCGCCAGGAACCCCTCGTGCATAAATGTTGTGAGTTGCAGCTGGACAAGGGAAGGGAGGGGAGGGGAGGGGTCCAGTCAGCCAGCTTATTCCGCACGACACGATGACGACAAGGCTGTTGCGGGAAGCAGCTGGGGCTAGAAGCTGCGGGCATGGATTGACTCGGTATGTAGGGTGACAGACCACCACCACCACCACCACCACCACCACCACGAGGAGCAGGAGCAGGAGCAGCAGTTGGTGATCGGCCGATCTGGCCAGGCCCATAGGACTCGATGGGTCGGAAGAAATGGGATTACATCTTGCGGAAGGTGTTACCGGAAGCGCTGCGACGCTCCTTGGCCCGGAAATTGTGGGAGGATGTAGACTGTTGCTCGGGTCGGTTGAAACTCTTCTTCGCTTGCTGTCTGCCAGCGCCGGGAGTGAAGGTGACTTCACGCTCGCCGACCACCCCGCCCCGACGAGAGGGCTTATCCCTGGTGCGCATGTTCTGCGCGCGCGAGCCGAAGGAACGGTCACGGGTCGAGCTGACGTTGGTCGAGGAAGAGATCTCCATGCGGGGCGCTTCCTGGTTGCGGCCCTGCTTGTTGCGGCGGTAGGAGGCGGTGGAGATCTTGTTGGAAGCGGCGGGCTTGGACTTGTATTGTCCGCCATCACTTTCCGAATCGGAGCTGTCCGAGCTGCCCCGGACGTCGTCGACCATCTCATGTTCCACGGCGGTGAGGCCTCTTTCCTTGCGGGGAGGCGCCTCGACCGCGGTGCTGGGGTTGAGAAGCTGGAATTCGCGCGATGTCTCGTCGATGGCGAAGTCCTCGTCCTCGAAGAGCTTGGCGAAACGGGAATCGCCCAGAGGGTTCTTGTCGGCTTCTTCGGTGGTGGTGGCGGCGGCGGCGGTAGGAGGAGCATCAACCATGTCATCGTCGCCGCCCCTTTTGAGGACACGCTGCGCCCTCTTGCGCTCATTCTTCTCCTCGATGCTGAGCAGCTTCTCGGCAAGTCTCTGGTTGACCTTGACAGCGGCCTTCTTCTTGCCACGGATTCGGCTTTCACGTTCCTTCTCGATCTTCTCCCTAACACGCTTGGCACGCTCTTCTTCCCACATGTAGGGGTTGGTGATAAGCCTGGCCTCTTCGTAGAGCTGTTGAGCCACAAAGTAACCGTGCATGTAAGGCCGCAGAAGGCTGGTCCGGCCAATGAGGTGATCCAGGTTGAGAGTCTTGAGTTGAGGAACGGTCAAGAACTTGTAGTTGTCGTAAACAGAGCCCGCCTGGCTGGGGTTGAACGCGTTGGGGTCGTTGGGGTCTTCGGCCATTTCTTCAACAAGGTTGTCGAGGAACGAACACCAGCGAGGCGATGGTCCAAGCTGGGGAATCAAGAACGAATGCTGCAAAGGCCCTTCGTTGGCCGTGAGAAGCATTCCACTATCCTTGCACCAAGCAACCGAGTTGATGTCCACAGCAGGCTCAACAGATGTCCATGGGCTTCCATCACGGGGATCCCAAATCTTAATGATCTTCTTGTCCGCGGAGAGAATCTTGGGTTCCAGGGTCTGTTCGCGGGAGGCGGTGGAAGGCTGGAGGAATTTCAATGTGTGAATGGGGAAGCCATATCCCTGGTCCTTCTTCAACATGGGTCGGGACATGCGCAGATCATAGAGGAAGATGAGTCCGTTCGAAGAACCCGTACCGAGCGTTAGACCAGATCTGTGGAATTCCAGAGCTGTGATTTCTTGTCGAGACTCATCGGGACCGTGCGCGGGTGATACCAGAGTGCCGATCCTGCTTCTCGCCCTAGGATCGAAGAATTCGACAGTCCCGTTTGAGGTACCGAAGGCAAGAAGATTGTGACTTTCCTCGGCAATTGCTCCTGTATTGACAGCGCCCGTATTGATTCCACCCTGCAATGTACCTCCACCAGCAGACGTAAAGTCATCGCCACCCACATCAACTTCGAAGCTTCGCATGTATCGTCCCATTTCCAGGTTCAATCGAAAAACTTCTCCCATGCCGTCGCTGTTGACACCAACCGCTGGCACCAAAGCTTCTGTCGACTGTCTATCGTATACCAAGTCACGGCCGTATCTGGGAAGCCTCGTCTTGTGGTGCATGCCCGAAGGAGTGTGAAATTCGAGGGAGCGGTCGGACTGGAGGTGGAGGGACTTGGAGTAGTCCGACGAGAGTAGAAGGAAGGTAGTGTTTTCAACATCCGTATGACGCGCGTCTGCCGGTGAAATCAGCAAAAAGAAGACTTCGAAGTAGAAATTCTCATCAAAGACTTACAACTCAGGGACAGAGCTTGTAACGAGTGAACGTGCATCTGCGGCTTGTACGTTCCTGCGGGGATGCGGGTTAGTTGATTGTTCGGAGCAGTCGATGCCTGCGCAAGCGCATACCTGTGCTCATAACCCAGTCTCCATCTTCACTAACGCGGATGCATCGACTGGCTTCCTCGAACCCGAAGTCCTAGTGGAAAGATTAGAAACTGATAAGAGACGAAGATGGATGGTGGTCGGGTCCTGACCTGCAATAATTCAACTCTGTTCGCCCACTCCGGATCATTCTTCAAACTCCTCTTTCTCCGCCTAGCAAGCCATTCTGGGAGCTAGAATCATATACCATCAGCATCAATCTTGCTGTTTTTGCTGGAATGCTACCAAGTTCTTACCTCGCGGGCAGTATTGGAGCCCGAGATCGCTGCAAAACCGTTAGTGTCTCATTCGGGAATTTATGGTCTGTTAAGCTCACTGTAGACCGGGACCTCCGACTGGTTGGAGAGCTTCATGGCGAGGTGAGAGCGTTGGAAATCGCAGCGCAGCGCCAGTCAAAGTCGATAAGGGACTTATTTTTTTTTTCGGGCAAAAAAAGTTGCCGCGATCCAGAATATTACGGTATCGATAGCTGATGGAGGTGAGCACGTGATGCCGCGGAAAGCCGTTCTATCTGATTGGCTGGGGCGGGCCGAACCAAGCTCCGTTGCTGAGTGGAAACTGGAACTGAATTGGTGAAAGACTGAATGGCGGCTGCGAAATCGAAGGGCCCCATCGGAACATCTGGGGGAAATCAGCGGCCATTTCGCCTCTTCGGGAATGCTGATATCGTACCTAATCCAATCCATCCATCCATCCCTCCATCCATTTATCCATCCCCCTCTCTCAGGGCTTAGCTCTTGTATCTCTTCTTACTGCTTCATGGCGCGTGGTATTCTTTGACAAAATACATCAGTATCCTATATATACATACGCCCTTACCCCCCTTACTCCGGTACTACCTCGATCGCGAACCCTTAAACTTCCAAAGAGCGATGGCTTTAGGAAGCTGATCTGTTTACTGACTGCTAAAAGGGTTCCATGTTATCGCACTGAGATATGACCATTTGGGAATGCGCTCCTGGAGATGAATTCTATTTCGCCAGTGGAAGCGTTCCTGGCTAGCTAAAAAAAAAAACATTCGCCAGTATTTCCAAAGGGGCTTTTAATATAACCATGGACTTTCCAGGCGGGTCCGTCACCAACATACGCGTCATTGTAAGTCAGTTGCCCGCAAGCACCTTTAGCATCCATTTAACCTGATCTCCAGGATGGATTCTCGCAAATCTATTGGAGAATTTATACCGAGGAGCCTGGTATAACCAACATACCAGGCGAATCTCCTGCAAATGGCTATACCATTTTGAAACATCTCAGCCGCCTCAAAGATCTCGAGCTCAGGCTGAGGAATCTAGATTGCTTGGTTTCAAGCTATCCTCGAAGACTCTGTCTCTGGACGTTCTCCTCTACTCCTGGCTTCGAGGCCCTGGCCTCTGTGGCAGCAAGTCGGGGTAAAGATGACACGGGCAGGCTTCTCGTCGGCTCTACTACGTTGAAAGGTACGTGATCTCTTGGAGCGCAAAGCTAGTCTTTTCGCTGCAGTGAGTGCTGACCCATAGCCTCACAGTGTCTTCTTCTGGCAGTGTTTCCTCGTCAGATTTGGTCAAGAATCTGTCAGCGGAGCCTCAACTTGCGACAGGCGCAGCCGGGCCGCAACGACCCAGTGCGCCTACACCGTTCGTCACGATCTACGCTTCTTTCATTTCAGCTCTGATGGGAACGTTAAGTCTTCAATTGATACAGCAAATCGGTGCAGTTCCGCTGGGGTCACGGACCCTGCTCACGTTAGACGAACGAGGTCTCCACGAGACCGTCGGCTACAGTGCTGAGAGCTTCGCTTTCGCTCCAGCGCTGACTACGCTTCAAGTTCAACTGATATCTGCTGGGAAGCTAACTGTGGCTTTGCAAACCGTACCACAACCTGGTCTGCTGAGATTGTGCAGCCCTGAAGATTCTCCAGAAAGCCATGACATTCCTCCTGGCACAGATCTCTGGCTTTCTCCAAGCGGATCGATTGCCAGACTAGTGACGAAAAAACCAGCTCAGAGGGTGGGTTCTTCTCCGTACCCTTACAGCGCCGGGGGCGTGGGGTCTGATAAGTCGGACCCGGTGAATCGCAAACAGTGGATGGCCAATGTGCTGGGCTGGCTTGCCAATTTTGGTCTTCCAGTGAATGGCATCGGTGAAGATTCATGGGTGGAGGTTGAAGTCTGGGAACCATTCTACTCTAGGCTGGCTGGGGAGACATGGCGGCCAAACGATGGGGGCTTATCAACACTTCCTCTCAAGCGAATTCTTTGGCCGGCTATATACTGCTTCAGAAGGACAAAATCAGCATCTTCAGACTCCTATGGTGAAATGGAAAGCGTCTGTGCTGTCATTGATAACCCTCTAGAATTTGCAGAAAAGTGGCACGTATTAGAGAAGCCCAACCTTAACGAAACGAGCCCTAAGCCTCTATCTGTCGTCCAGGAAACAGAGACCAAGGACCAAGATGCACCCACTCCCGATACGGTTGGCTTACCTGAAGGACTGGAAAGCCTTTCTCGGGCTTCACAGTACCCAGACCTACAGACTGCAGGCCTTGTATATCCCACGCCACCAGACGGGGCCACGACAGCAGGGCTCAATCCTACCACAGTCTCCTCGGATGCTTTTTCTGAAGACTTATACAACGGTTCAGCCTTTCCTCAGCAGACCAGGCAAATTTCTTTCGGCCAGCCACACAGCAAGGATCGCTCTGCAATGGATGTGACAATGGGTTTCGGTCCTTCGGCAGGTCTTGCTGTTGGATCCGGACTGTACGATACCAACGATGATGATGATCTGTTTGGTGATATGAACGAGAGAGATTTTGGAGCTAAGGGGATCACGGATGCAGATTTCAGCTTCTTCGATGAGCCGGGGTTTGACCGTATGGACGAAGGAGATCACGCAGATCCCATGCATGAAATGCCGGATTTTGCTGTAACAGAGCAACTTGAAGCACAACCTACGCCGGCTGAGCACACCTTTCCCGGCTTTGTGCAAGAAGCTGTCAAAGATCAGAGGTTTGAGCCCGAAGCTGACAAAATGGATGTTGCTACGGAAGCTCAGAGCGAACAACCTCTGCATGAAAAGGATGTCCCTCTGCCATCGCCCCAAGAAGACAATGTCGGCACTATAAGCCCTCCACTGAGTCCGGTTGAGGTTAAGAAATTTCTTTTCCCTGAGCCACAAGCCGAGAGTAATCCATCACCACAGCAAGGGCAGATGCCGGGGTATTATAAACCCATTCATTTCAAGCAGGGGATTTCCAGCTGGGATCAAAAATACAGTACCGAAGGAAAGTTCTGGTTCCAAATGCGTGGGAAAGACCCTATTGAGAACACCAACACCACGAGCAGTGATATCCCAACCATCGGCCTTCCTCGCCACACTACAACATCGAAAAGAAGCGCGGGTGTAAACCCATTCGATGAGCATGGCAGTCCGCTGGACGACATATTTCAGGAAGCAACATCAGACTCCGAGTTAAGCGACGCTGCGAGCATTGACGACGTTGAGAGTGAAGCTGAGAGCGATCTTTCACCGGCTACATACCCCACTCGCAAAAGAAAACGCAGTCTTTCAAAATCCGGTACCTCATTGGCTTTGTCCCCAGAAAAGACTTCGATGAACGCGGAGCAAGACGCAGCAACTCAGCGTCCCGAGGATTCCGTCTTTTTGGGAAACTTCCTATCAACCTTTTCCGACTGGTCCTTGACCGGTTACTTCTCACTCTCTCAAAACCGGACATTCCCTGCCCTTCTTCAAAAAGAATTGCAAGTCCAGATTGCCCAAATCCTGGTCGATCAAATCACACAATCTTCTCTCGACCACAAGTATGATGGGACTGTTGGTCTCCCAGGCTGTGGCAATGAGGCGCATTCCCCGCAAAGCGTTGATGACGAATCATTCATGGGCGGGCTAGAAAGGCTCGATTTGAATAGCTTCGTCTCTCTGCAGGATCCTGTAGCACTTTCGCCTACCACTCAGGCCCGACAATCTTCGCAGCGGAGAGACACAAGCAAGGGCACCATTTCTCGCCTCGGCCCACCACATCTACGCGTCTGCCGCGGCAAAGACTTTCTGGAAACACTACCACCAGCAATCCCATTCTGGGAAACATTTGGGTTAGGGCCGGCCCATGGCCAGAAGGATATACTAGCTTATTGTATCCATCCCCATACCGCCACAGAAGCTGCGGATACCTTTTTAGACCGTCTGGGCTTGGTATATTCTGGCTGCAATCTTGGTAATCATGATCGGGGGAATGGCTCAAACCTGTTCAGTCGTGGTATGGGCTCATGGGACATCGATTTGTCACACACGCGCTATTCATCTATCATGCAATCCTTGAAGACGATCTGTGAGGACTTAGGTATGTCAGCTCTTTTTTACTTTGAGGCCCAGCGCTAACCCGGCTGTAGGGACGGCTTTGCAACAGAGTCCGCCCGGCAAGGATAACAATCTGGTCATCTATATCGTCAATCCCTTTGCTCACGCTGCGGCCTTGGTCGATATCTGTTCGGCCTTCTGGAGTCTGTTTCAAAGATATGTGGCCGATGCTGACAGGCAGCAGGCCCGCCAACTCAATGAGCTTGTGTTGCAGATAATTCCCTTCGACTTTCTCATGTCAAATGAATCTTTAGTCGTGCCTCCTCAAGCAGAGTACTTGAACTTAGCCCTCGAGGTCTATAGCCGGTGCCCACCAAAATCGCCGCATTCTAGCTTGGTCAATGGTGCCCCTCCAATGCTTCTTGCAGAACCTCTTCCCAAGGCCATCAACTTCAAACTCTCATCTGAGAAGACCTCTCCACTGCAAGAAGGCAGGTGTCTCCACATCGCGTGCTCCAGAAGTCAAGATCAAAGGTGGATGAGCGTGGCCTGGTCAGATAACACCGGCGCTCTGCAGCGAACCATGTCCTATTGTCTCCGCTTTCGCAACTCGTCCGCGGTGAGGAGCATCGCGGAAGTTCGCGGTGAAATCTGGGGAGCAACGAAGGACATAATGGACAGGACCCAGGCGCGCTGGCGGGTTATTGTCGCCAACACAGATCCTGTGGATCAGGAAGAGGTTGACAGTAAGTGTGTCACTGCGAAGAGTTTTTTTTATGGTTACTGACAACTTCAGCCTGGACAAGCCTCACAGAACAGTACAACAAGTCTAGATCAGCAAATCTAGAATTAACGATCTTGAGTGTCGGTACCACGCCCGATCTTACACTTGAGCCACCGTTCTTGCCCCTACCCATGAGCGCAGTCAATCCTCTTGCTTCAACCACCCCCATTGCTACGCCGAATCCCAGCATTTCCTCACCCGACCAAATCAGCACTGCGCCCACTCCTCCAAGCGCAGCGAATGTACCTTTGAACGCCCCCACTCCCACAGATACCAATCCTGAGATAGAGTCTGAATCCCTCCTCATGGACATATGCGATGAGACGTGGGGCGTTGTTTTGTCCCATCGTCTTAACAGCTCTATGCATCAAACCGAGTATCGACCCGCGCTGGCCAGCGGATACCTACTTCGCAGGAGAGGCTCTACCGACGGGGACGGGGTGTATACCATGGGGGCTAACATCATTTACACAAGGCGTTCCTCAGCTTCGTATGACGCCGTTCTTCGAGAGATCCTGAGCATGTACCGTGATCTTGCGACTCTAGCTCGGGCCCGGGGCACTCGGGCCGTGCAACAGGGTACACTGCCCTGGCACATTGCTACTGTGGTCAAGGCTCAGGCGCTTCTGAGCTATGTTCTCTGATTGTTCTTTATGTGTTATATTAGTTCATTATACCATGTCGCGGCTGGTGTGAAGATACGGCGTATGGTGTTTTATCTACCTTATTAGAATATGATCCCCAGGCGAGCTGTATATAACTATGGTGCCTTGCTTCGTTCATCAAGCAATACGTGGGAACGGTACATCGTACGTAAGCGGGTTGGATCTGCGTTCAAATGACTTTGACTGTTGTTGACCGATTGTTGAGAATATCATTCCATACCTTGGCTAACGAGTTCAGGTAGCTCTTAATCACGCATGCGCTGTTCAACAATCGAAGCTCTCTGCACAGAGACTATGCATGTAAGTCATGTTCGGCACTCGGAATCTGATCCTAGCCCCTAAGTTGCGAACGCGAATGATGGTTTGTGAAGAGCTCCGGCTACAAGCCTGTCCACAAAGCACAACAACCGATGTGGGTAATCTCCATCTATCCAGCTTTGAAGCCAGCTCGCAACCACCGGACTGCCCCCTACTCGAAATCGAGGATAACATATCTTTCAAAGCCAGTCATAGAAATCTCCTTCTAAGCCAAACCGAGATCTCCTTTCATCCCAAGCACCGGGGATATCTCTTTTCTTTGTGGTTTGAGAAAGCCCATGGAGACTGTCTACCAGATACGGAAGATGCTGGAGCTCTTCAACAAATTCTTTGACAAGAAAACGAGATGCACCTGTTAGCAGCAGGGTCCGCAGTCCCAGAATAATGCTTTGCGTTCATTATAAAAAGCGATCATTTCTTCTAATCATTCAGCTCTTCCTCCCCTCACAACTTTCACCTTATTCACGCAAAAAAACGCAAAAGCACAAGTCAAAACAACACAACACAGCCATCATGCCTACTAACAGACAGCGCGTCCAGCCCAAGTCTCGGCGGTGGGCAAAGAGACAGCGGCAGGCTCACTCGACCAGTGCTGTGCAGAACGCCAGTCCGACCATGTGGCACGATTACTACAATGTCACCACCCACGGTGAAGCGACCCAGGACGGAGCCCACCACGTCTCATGCAAAGCACAATGCCGCTACTGCTGGATGTTCTGGACCAGCCGCACCTCTTCCCCGTCCGCCATTAGTCTGCAGCTCCATCTGCACTTCTGCCCGGGTCGCAGAAAGCGTGCCGCCGACCAGAAGAAGAAGTGGAAGTTGGGTAAGTGCCCCCCCTCCTGCGATTTCGCCGCCGAAGATGAGACGTCGACCAAGCGGGCTGGAGAATGGCATTACGATGGAGAACAGTGCCAACCACCCGAGTTTAGCAAGCTAACAACGGACCAGATGCGCGAGCGGTTCGTGATCGGCACTAAGGGCTTCCGGTTGAAGGCGCAGTGCCGCGGCTGCGACCGGGAGGTCTGCAACAAGCGGTATACGCTCTGCAGCCATCTGGCTGGTTGCGCGATGCGCCGCAAGTTCTTGCTCTTCCGGGGTGAGAAGGCGGGTCGGTGGGCGAAGTGCCGCGATTGCGGTGAGGTTATGAAGGCCGATCGGGGGGTGAAGATGGTGCATCTGGTCAAGAAGTGTCCTGCTAGGAGCTCTGAGTGAACTGGAGGCTGTTTTCAATTTCCTGATTGCGCTTTTGAAGTAGGTGTCAGACGTTTTGGACTGAGTATTTGTTTTGGTTCACCTTAGCATAGGCGGGATAGCCGCATTCGAATGCTAGTTTATCCGTATTTTGATAATCCGAGTTTATTGACCATTACACTAGAGCTATGAAGTAACTTATAATATCTTATGTAAATCTGTTAGAAGATCGATGGAACAGACTGGCGTCCTCCATCATAAACAATCTTGAATATGGATGACCGTGTCACCGTCCGCAGATTGCGGAGGTGCGGTTAATCCTATTATCAACGGCCGTATGGCCCATACCAGCTGGATGGCCTACCAGTCGTATGTGTTCGCTTGTTCAAAACACCATGACAAATGATATATTGCCTAATGGGGGAAGGACAAGGGCGTGCCAGTGTGTAGCGCCTGAGGGCATCGAGGTCATGTGACGTGCAAACGAAACTGCGAGTATATAACCACGGCGAATTCTTGTAGATTTCTTCCTTCCTCACCAGTTCCATGAATCTTGAAAGGCATCAGACTTTCCTTTATGGGCCAGTAAAGTCATCAGAATTCCAACCGTATCTCTACCTTCAAGGCGTCGCCATGAGTTCTCTTTGCTTGATCAACTCCTTCACACGATCTTTCCTACATGACATTTCCCCGGCACAATGTGTAGATGAGTATCTCATCTAAACTGTATCCACTGCACGACACATCAAGTTTCAAAGTCGCCGCTTGCATTATCCACATACAAGAAAAGGACCATACCAGACATACAATGAACATTCCGGCCTTATGGTAGCCATACCGAGTCTCCCTGTTTGCAAACACCTCAAGAGAACTCCTTGTCCTGTAAGTATGTCTTTGAGACGCGTTACTAAAGAGCTAGGCTCCCAATGTCTTGCTCTTTGAGCGCATACATCTTTCTCTGGAAACCTATTCTACATTGGACATTCACTGGCAATATCCGCAAACTCTTTGATGGCAGATCCTGACCTTGATGAATGAAAATCTGGGGTATCCCTTCTGAGAAGATCGGATTGAATGTTGGATTCTTGCTTGGGAAATTGTATAAATTCCCGTCCAAGACTCCTCTTCTCGTCACATTCGTGTTCTTCACTGACCGGAATCGCCTGAACAGCAACCTCAACTGACGCCTCTTCAACTCTCAACCATACATCAAACTCAGTCTTCCCGGGTAAGAACAAAACCATGTCTGTGCCGGAGTGCCCGAAGCTCATTAACCCAGCAGAAGCGGACGAGGACCTTCTGCAGCACTTCGACGTCAAGGTCGGCAAAGATGGGACCAAACTCCTCCAGTGTCACCTTTGCAAGCGCCTCATGCGCAATGTCACCTTCACGCTGAAATGGCATCTCCAACACGTGTGCGAGAGAATAAGAGAGAAAGACAAAAACAGATCAATGCGCTCCGCCGCGAGGATCACGCCCCGCTCCCACTACGACGACGAAGGTCTGGTTACTCATATCAAACACAGCCGAATCGTATGCCGCCACTGCCACGAAGCTGTGACCGACCGTGCGCAAGCAATGAGGGCCCATGTGCTGACCTGTCTTCAGGGCAGGACTCAACCGGTAGAAGAAAACGCGTTCGCCGCCGATGTGCGACGAGACTATTTCGAAATCTCCCCCGGGGAGGGCGGCGGCGGCGAAGGACGGCCCGTCTATCGGAAAGCGACTTGTCGCCACTGCCAGGCTGTCATGCAGGACCGCCAGCAAACGATGGTCAGGCATCTGGTCGGTTCTTGTCGTGCAACAGGTGCATACGGGCGGGTAGAGGGTAAACCTGATACTTCGGCGGGGAGTGACGCCACGTGAAAATCGGCTCTACTGCCCCTGGAAGATGGGAGGATTATAAGATCTCTGGGTCTTCCAATATCTAGTACGTCTGGTTGTTCTCTAAATGCCCGGACATATCCACCATAGCGGTAATTGATCAACATAAACTCTGTGGATCTTGTCTTATCTACTTGCAGCCTGAATATATAATGTTTACTACTATACCAGGATCTATTCTATCTATGCCCTACGATGTAAAATACCAACCAAGCTTTTCAACTGTATAACTTGAAGTCATGGTTCTTCGACTTGAGAAAGCCCCTTTTCTGTGAAATCATGTGGGCTTCATTCTTCAGAATGTGAGCCCATACCCTTGTGCACTCGAGCTTCTTGCATGTTGATTACAAATCGGAGACTATGACCTCTCCTAAGCACGGACTCTTTGTGGCAAGACTGGGAGATTCAAAAATACTTTGGCGCTCTCATCTCCAATGGGAAGCACCTTATATCGATAGTAAAAGTATTGGATGATTTTTCCCAACGAAAGAAAAGCATCAATAGTGTACGGTTCTGGGGTTGGTTGCTTGCATTTACAACTTAGTATCCAATTTGTCACTATGAGTTTTTTTAACACAGAAGTATATATTCAGAGATTGAATGGCCGTACAGCTGCTGGCCCTCAATCTAAACTCCTCTATAACTCTCACCATCTCTACTTTCAATCTTACCCTTGAAGCAGCAGCTACTTATATCAAAGCTATCTCTACTCAGCGACCATGAATCAAGAGAGCACGAGACTCCTCACCAGCCACAGTATATAGTAGTAAGATGGAAGAAGTCACATGACCGCTTATCTATCTAATCAGCCGCGCGATAACTAGCCCATCCATATCGGCCCCCCCCCCCCCCCCCAAAAAAAAAAAAATTTGGAAAGAGTCCAACAAGACTAGCGCCAGCGCTGTTCCTTACTATATTCGCATTACATTCTTCTTATTTACATCAATTAGACCTCCACATCACTAGTAGTCTCTTTCGAGCCTCAAAAAATCCTCACCTACGCCACCCCTTCCCTCACGGTACTCAATCACCTCCCGGGAAACCGAGTCCAGTGCCCCGCCATACCATACCGCCGCCCGCAGCACAAACACAACACAACAACAATCCTCAACCCGGGCCACTGCAGTCCCTCGAACCTCCTCATTTCGCGCAAACCCCCAACCCACCAATCTCAAACCTACTCCAAACACACCCCCCCAAAAATGTCCACCCACCCCGAAGAACCCACCGCCACGCCCCCGGCCGGAACCAACTACCTCGACCTGGGGATCACGCTCGCGCTCCACAACTGGCCGGCGCTGACGCTGGCGGTGCAATCCCTCTGGGGCGGGCCGACCTCGGCCGACAAGCGGGACTGGCTGTGCGGCGCGATCTCGGAGATGCTGGCGACGCGGCCGGAGACGGACTCGTACGACCTGGAGGACGTGCTGGTGCAGGTGATGACGGACGAGTTCGACGTGGACGTGGACGACGAGAGCGCCGCCGCCGTCGCGGACCAGATCATGGAGATGAAGGCGCAGACGGAGCGCGGGGAGTACGCCGCTATCCAGCACATGTGGGAGGTGTATCAGCGGAAGGGGGGCCAGAATCAGGCTGCTGCCGGGATTCAGAGGGCGGCGGCGGGGGCAGATGGGGAGGAGGATAGTGATGAGGATGAGGATGAGGATGATGAGGACGAGGACGAGGCGATGGATGTGGATATGGATGATGCGGCGGCGCCGGCGTTGGTGCGCGCGCCCAGGGAGAAGGTCGAGCCCGAGGTCGATGATGATGGGTTTACGACGGTCGTGTCGAAGAAGCGCCGGTGATCTTAACCCCCCTTTATTTCTGGTGCTTGTTTACACTTGAATTTACTCCGAGTTGTATGTATTTCGATTCCCCTTTCTTTTTTTTCTTTCTTGACATAGATAAATACACTGCCATGGTTACTGGACTAGACTGTACTAGAAGACTTCTTTGGTCTTGGTGTTGTGTATCTGAGGCAAATGCTGGGTGGGCATGGCGAGTTTTATGGCGCGATTTTCTAGTCGCTTTCTATCGACTCAGCAGGAGCAAAAATGGAATCAAAATTCTCACAAAGAAAAAGAAATAAGATTCATCATCATCAACCAACGTTAAGCTTGTCATTGTGTCGAGCCCGTGGTCCCGCCCATGCCACCTTAGATCTGTCGAGCTCGACAAACTCTTGTCCTGTTGGCCGCGGTAAGAGAGATTGGGGGCTTATGCAATGGATGCCAATAACCAATGTTCACGCATTTACTCGGCAACAACTTCCTCGTTCTCGATAAGCTTGGTGATCATACCAATGGCAACGGTTTGTCCCTAGCAGTCCTGTTAGCGGCGCGCTTGATTTCAGCATGTCTGGGAAGATCGACTACTTACCTGGTCACGCAGGGTGAATCTTCCCATCTGCTCCGAGTAGGAGAAAGGTTCACAGCAAACCTGTCCAGCCGTCGAGGTGACCTCTACTCTAGCGATAACAGTCATGCCCTTGCTGGCGAAGGCGGGCGCCTTCTTGCTGCGACGACCGGTGCCGGGTTCGAGCTACGAAGATAAGCGTTAGCGGAGGAGCGGGCATTTCGACGAGAAAGCGAGCATACCTTGTGCAGAAGAGCGGCGATAGTCACTTCTTCAACAGCCGAGTGCACGTGCATAACGCAGTTGAAACCGGCAGAAAGAATGCCCTTGATCTCGAGCAGCTTGATCTTGGCCTCGAAAGAGTGGACAGAGTGAACCAGACGTCTGGGAGAGCACAGGACGAATCCGGGAAGAAGGTCTTCTTCTTCAACACCACGAAGACGCATGCGGACTTGGTCACCGCAACTGCCAGTGGCGATTTCGTCTTCGGTTTCACCATACAAAGCAGCAACTTCACACTTGGCAAGGCCGGGCACCACCACCATGGAGGAACCCTTCTTGACGATCTGTAGCATTGTTAGGAAATAGACACGAATAGCAATGGTGGGAGATGCATACACCACTGTCGATCTTGCCTTCAACCATAGTTCCCATATCTCTGTACTTGGCGCTGATAGCCATGGCAAAAGGAGCATTCAGCTTTCTAGGAGGGAGCTCCATGTCGCCGAGGTACTCCAGCAACGAAGGTCCATCATACCAAGGGCACACGTCCTTCGTGACCTATATTAACCAGTCAGCATATAGATTTCGTGATATGGCAGACTTTCACTTACCCGGTCCTTGATGTTGACCATGGTCTGTGCACTGATGGGCATGAAGGTCAAATCTGCATTCAATTGTCAGTATGTCTGGCACCTCCAACGATAATGATGAATTGTATACTCACCGGCCTTTGCGTAACCCAATGCCTCCAAGAACTTGGCCACCTTTGTGGTGCAAACCTTGAAACGCTCCTCGCTCCACTCGACAGTAGGGTCGTCCATCTTGTTGACGGCAATGACCAGCTTGCGCACACCGGTGTTTCTAGCAAGCAAAGCGTGCTCGCGGGTTTGACCGCCCTTCTCGAAACCGGTCTCGTACTCACCCTTACGAGCTGAAATGACAAGGACACCGACATCGGCCTGGGAAGCACCACCAATCATGTGGTGGACGTAGGCCTTGTGACCAGGAGCGTCCAGAATACTGCAGCTTCTGGTGACACCGTTCTTCAGCTGGAGATCGAAATGGGCGCGGCCAACTTCCACGGTCTTGCCCTTGGCGCGCTCCTCGGGGTTGAGATCCAAAGCCCAGGAAAGATACCAGGTCTCACGACCCATTTCCTTGGCGTCTCTCTTGTACTTGTCCAAAGTACGCTCATCGACCATACCAGTGGCGACGAGAATGCAGCCTCCCAAGGTGGATTTGCCGGCATCGACGTGTCCGATGAAAACCACGTTAACGTGCTCCTTCTTCTCAAGCTCGCCGTACAGTTCGTTCAGGGTGGCCTCGTCGACGTCGGCCTTCTGCTCCTGGGCGACAGCATCGGCATGGCGAGCAGCCTTCACCACCTCGGCTCTGGAAGGGCTGGAGCGGCCAGGGGATGACCGGCCGGAGGCGGGAGCAGGAGAGGACTTGCCACTAGCAGCAGCCTTGGCCTCCGCCTTCTTCTCGGTCTTCTCGATGGCCTTGGAAGCCGTCACCTTAGCGGCGGCGTCGGCGGCAGCAGCACCCTTAGTGTCACCGGGGGTGGCCGTACCCGAAGTCGCGGGGCTGGGAGAAGCGGAAGTGCCGCCAATGGAGAGGACCTTCGTCTTCGGAGCATTGGGGGAGTCGCTGGCGCCGCTGACGCTGAGAACCTTAGCCTTGGGCTCGGCGCCAATGCTCAGGACTTTAGCGGCGGGCTTGGGCTCCGCAGCGGGCTTGGGTTGTTGCTGAGGCTGCTGAGGCTGTTGAGGTTGCTGCTGGTAGCCACCGTATTGTTGCTGGTTGTAGTATTGGTTGTAACCGGGCTGCTGAGCATAGGCTCCGTATTGTTGGCCGTACTGACCGTAAGGCTGCTGTTGCTGCTGCTGGTATCCGTATTGTTGGCCATATTGGGGGTATCCGCCGTACGACTGCTGACCAGGAACGAATGATGCGGCGCCGGGGGTGAAGGAAGCAGCGCCAGGAGTGAAGGTCGAGCCTTGGTAGCTGAACTGCTGTTGCGGGCGACGGCCGTTATTGTTCAGGTTCACACCTTCGGTCTGTCTGGAGAGCTCATCCTCCCAGGATTCGGGGGTTTGGTTGGCCATGGTGTAGAACGCTGGAAAACCGCAAAGAGAGCAAACAACTCAAGCAAGGTCCCAGAGATATCCCAGAGATATCAGAAAGCAGGCCTGGAAGACGGGGAAGAGGGGTGAAAGACAAGGCAAAAGGCCAAATGAGGGGCGTTTTTTCTCCGGAGCCCGATTGATTTTGCTGCTGGCTGACTCAGCTGCGTCTCTTCCCCGCCTCCGCGTGTGTTGCGTTTGCCGCGTTTGTTGCTGGTTGCGCCGACTTCACGCCGAATAATCAAACTGCAAGCTCTAGACTAGGCAGGTGACAAAGAGGAGAAAAGAAAAACGACTGCAAAAGTTCATGGATGGTGTCCTCAACTGCCAGACCAAACAACAGACAACGTGGGTGGCTTATCGCCGATTAACACCTCAGAACAACCCAAGGCCGCTACGGGCCAGTTGCATACAGCAGCTATCGCCGATCTACATCACTCTGCAGCTGCTACTATAGATCTGAGGCAAAATGGATGTCTTTTTGGCCAGAGTAAGCCCTTATGTCACTTGTCACGCTATATGCAAACTAATTTCTATCTCAGCTTACCCAGCAGGCAATGAACTATGCCATTCGGTATGACTCGGCGATTCTTGGCCTGATCTTGTTGGGCAGCTAGCTCACTGAGTGGACATGTAGCTCGGGAATAGCCATAACAGCCAAATATGCCATCCGTCAGTCATCACGGCTG